TGCCTCTCTCCCCCCCCCCATCCAGCAGGAGACCTCTGAAGGGGAGAAGAGGGGAGGGATGAGTAAGGAGAGGGGTAAGACTGTGCTTGAAGGTTGAGGATCCAAACGCAGGGATGGGCGTTAGAGAAATCATGCTGGTTAGAGAGACCACATAGAGAGAAATCATGTGGATGGTGCCTCTCGGTGGTATACGATGCAGCGTGAATGCCATAGTGACGTGACGCACACCGAGTGGTCTCTCAGAGAAACTATAGGCCAGGTCTTACCTAGCCAGCCGCCAACCAAGCAGCACAGTGCAATGTAGACCATCGCCAGGACAAACTGCCTCACATGCACACAGCCGCACCATGGCACCATCGCACATGCATACCAAGGGCACACAAATCTAAAACGGTGAGCACGCAAGAGGGAGAGAGAGAGAGACGACTTTTGAGGCGCCTGAAGAGGGAGAGAGAGAGAGACAAACATGAAGAAGAGACAAACGACAGTGGCAGTGCGGCGCCGCGCAGCACGCACCACTCATTTATCCCCGCCTCTCCTTCCTCCCCCCCCCTACCCCACCCCTCCTAACCGTCCTCTTACAGTGTTCACGCCAGCCAGGTCGTTGGGGACGCGTCCCCACCCCGCGTCTCCACCCCGCGTCCCCACCCCGCGTCCCCACCCCGCGTCCCCCCACCCCGCGTCCCCCCCACCCCGCGTCCCCCCCACCCGCCCTAACCATCTCCTTACAGTGTTCACGCCCGACAGGTCGTTCGTCCCGAACGAGTCCACCATCTTCCCCAGAAAGAGGAACGACAGCGGCAGAGCGGCGCCGTGAAGCACGGCGCCTGCTGTGCCGACCGCCATGAGCGCGACGTCCGTGCTGTCGGCGTACGAGAACAGCCGCCAGTACGCCACCGCCGGCTGCTTCTCTTTCGTTTTCTTCTTTTTCTTCTTCTTCTCCTCCTCCTCCTTCTGCCCCTTCTGCTCCTCCTCCTCCTCGTCTTCGTTCTCATTCTCCTTTGTGCCGCTGCTCGCATCACCGCTCGGTTCTGTCTCACCCTTCAGTGTCGCCGAGACGGCAGATGACGGAGAGCCGTCATCTGCCGCCCCGTTCTCGTCAAGTAACGGCTTTCCGCCGTCGCGAAACCCAGCATCCATGTTTCCCTGGCTCACCGGAGCCGCATTGCGATCCGATTCGTCGTCGTGACGCTTCTTGGATCCGTACGTTTCCCCCATTCGCTCTGAATCCGACTCTACAAGAAGCGTCATAAAAGAATGGCTGGTACTAATGATACCACTCGACTCGAACGACCAGGGACCCAACCACGAGCACCGACACCTGACACGCGCTTTACGCTTCCCTAGTAAGGTTAGGCGACGTGAACTGCGATTCTTGGGTGCATTACCCGACCAGCGAGCACTGCTTAGGTCCGCTGATGGTGTAACGGAAAATCAGACCGCTACTTGATCTCTGAACCTGAATTCTGAATCAATGGTGGCATCCGATGCAGGAAGTAGCAATGGAGGAAATTGGCTACTGTACGGAGAATCTAGAAAATGTAAAGTGGGTTGGGGTTGGAATGGAATTCTTATAAAGCGTGGAGTTGACGCTAGAGAGCTATGACGTGGCATTGCTACGCTGTGCTGTCCTGCTCTGGTTCGCCAGCAGGGCAGGATTGCCACGATGTACTGACTTCACTTCCTGCCACCATACTAGAAGTGACGACGAAAGTGTGCCAGGAGGTGTGGGAGGACACTTGCGCTGCCCAATCTGCCCCAGATGTCTATTCAGTCGAAAGTGGAGCCGAGCGAAGGGAATTTTATGGACATTTGTCTCCCCTTCAACAGTTTAGGAAACCGAAAAAACAAAATAGAGCTTGATCTGACGCAATGGTGACGTTGCGGTCTCCGCGCACCCTTCTGGGATTGGTCACACGCTTATGTCAGCGTCGAATGCTGACATATTGCTTACGTCCACTTTCCGAATTTTGTGAAGGCTCGGTACATCCATGAGCAAACTTCCCTTATCCGAAATTTAGTGGAAATCCTCCTGACGAAAATAAAGAAGAATCCTATAGCGAAGCGCCAAGCTGTGGTTCTTGTCGATGGGTCCTGCAAGCAGAAATGGGAAATGATAAAAAAGGGTCCTCGCCCCACCAGAGGTGTGAGCAAAAAAGGTCCAGCAGCTTTCTGCCCCGAGACCTTGTCTCCGAGCCTGTGATACATCGCCTTCGTTGTGTTTTATTTTCACGAGACAGCTCAGGTTTGTGGGGCGTGTCGTATCGTGGCCCTATGAGGTGGGACATTTGTAGAACAGTGTTTTAGGGCAATATAAAAAAACTAAAACCCGTAAAGCCCTCACGTGCGACTCGGGTGGCACCAACCCAAAAATCGCAAAAGAGCTGCGTGTTTAGGGTTGATGCCATCTCGAACGGAATTCGGTCCCCAATGGGTTTATGTTATTTTCCTTTTGTAGATAAACGTTTACTGGAAAGTACGAAAAATAAAACAGAGTGTATTACAGGCTCGGAGGTTGACGGACATTTTTTGCTCAAACCCCTGGCAGAGCATGGACCCTTTCTGATAATTTCGCAGCAGAAATGCAAACTTCACGTGGGATGCAGCCACCCAACCTATGTCTTCTCGCAAAACGTCGTCGACTCGGAAGCGACAGCAGGAGGACGTGTTGGACGCTGTAACATTTCGCTGGCTGCGTACCCTTCAGGCGGCGCGGCGAAACTGTTTGCTGGTCGGTCCCTCCAGGTCAAGCCCACTCCAGTCTAGACTGGTTACCCGATGCACATCCTCGTTGGAGCATTGATGCACTGAATCGGCCAAACAGCTTCAACGTGATGAAATGATTGCTGCAGGCATGCGCAGCATAGGGACAAGGGTTTGGCAGGCATTGCTTTTCGCAGCGAGTCACCTCACCGACCACCAGTGGGAGAGCGGTGGTGGTGGTGGCGGCCTCTAAAGAGACAAGCCTCCACCTTTCCCTCCCTTGCGTCCAGGGATGGACGCCGGCTCTCCCGCGTCGTCTATCCTTGCATCGTTACGTCAGACACGGCGATAAGCATTTCAGCTTTACAGTTCGACTGCACTGTGCGAAACGGCCAAGCGCGTACGTGTAGAGTAACGACTCCCCCCTTCCTTGCTTGTACACACACTTGATCACGACGTCCAGCCGTACATAGGCCGTGAACTCAGCCTTACTCCCCATCGACTCAAACCAATACCTGGTTCAAGCCTCTTACCCTCACAGCTTGATAGTGCTCATCATGTGCTTTCCAAGCGCTGCTCGATCGCCGTGCTTGCTCACGACGTCGTATTACGATGCCCCTCAAAAGTCGATCTGTACGAGTGACCTCTCTTCACCAGACTCCACGCCGTCACTCAGCAGCTTCGACTGCCACAGCGAGACTCGGGAGTGCGGCAACCTATTCGCCAGCCCTTATCCGAGCGCACGAGGGCACGAAATGTACCAGTGGCTCGATGCAAAATCGCAGCTCTCGGCGATGGAACCTGCAAGTCCTACAAGGGTTGTACGGGAAGCGGAATGCGTGAACTTCACAGCGCAAGCGGGACACTGTACACCCCGTCCTGCACTCGTAGCGGACCGGCGCGATTTCAGCTGTGCCGAGGCGCTATGCCCGTCGTGCTCATGGCGAATCGCAGAGCTCGCGTGCGACCCTGTGTGGATCGACGACGCTCGGTCGCGCATTCGGGGAGCGGCGCTTGCCGTCGTCGAGGCGCAACAGGCGTCTGCGGAGCTGAGCGCGCGAGTGGCGGAAGCATCATCGGCGGAGATACTGAGCGCGGGAGAATGCCAGGACGCTTTTGGGAGGAGTTCCGGCTCTTTCTCGACTAAAGATAATCAGGCATCGAAAGGCCGAAACTCAGCCACGTTTGGACGCTGGTGGAGCCGGGAGACGTGTAATGACGACGTAACAGAAAATCTCGATGGCGCATATCTCACAGACAGCTGCCGCTCCAATTCAATTGATGCCCCGTTTGCGGACCTGAGTCGGAATAGTAGCCGGCGTTCCTTTCAAAGAGCAGCCACGACAGGATCAGCTAACCTTCAAAACGTTGAAGTGCCTATCTCGCCTCGCTTTATTCGGCGCACGAAGACCTCGTCACCGCCAACAGAGGCGGGAGATGCCCCTCTTAGAGAGAAACGTGGTGGATTAGTTGACATGGTGCGACACGCATTTATGCGGTCTCCATCAACTTCGTAGTAGTAATATCATCAATGTAGCTGGTGTATATGATGAATTCCTATGAAACCTCAAGTGATACAATGGAATTCGGATCTGCAAAGGTGTGAAGATGTATTGGAGAGACATAGAAAACTAGGATCAAAAGGTGCTGCACTCTGACAACAATTTGACAAAGTAAACCTTTTTGCGATATTAATGAATAATAAACTAATGTTATTTCATACATAAGCTCAGGTGGTGAATAGATTCAAAGATGGTGATATTATGTTTATGTGTGAGCTTGGTTGTGATGATGTTATGAAGAAATAAGCTCACTAGCATGGCCTTTCAGTCCAGGTTGTGCTGAGTCCCAGAACCTCGGGTCGGGAGGGACTGGTTGGCAATTCCCTATAACCTGAGCACACTGGTGGAGGGTGTTCTGCCAGCGCTGTACAGAATGCGAAGCGATCCAACGCAAACGAATGCGACACTACCCATACCTACTCGCACATTGTCTGTTCGTGTACCACGGTTCAGTATGTTACCACGCGATGGAGAACGTTTTTTTGCGCTTCTCCGCTTTGGTTGGACTACAGATGTTGTCAAGAAGTGCGGAATGCCAAGCGAGCGATCCATTGCGAGGGAATGCGACATGACAGAATGTGTTCCATTCCTCATCCCAGGAGGACCCAAACATTTCTCCTCCTCTCTCATCCCCACAGGACCTCCCCCCCCCTGATCATTGCAGTCAACAAGAAGGTACAGAACAGTACAGTTTGAGTTGGTCAGTGGTCCAGAGGGGGACTTGAACAGCCCAGTCTTTTGGTTGCAATGCTGATTCATATTGTAGGTGTTCAGGCGGACTGTGGAGTTGGATGTGCAGCAAAAGGAGCGGCATAGATTTCGTCGGCGCCGAGCAGGGCTGGTTTCTCTCTCAATTCACACCCTCGGTTTCCGTACGTCGCCTCCTACTAACCAGCGGAGTTATTTTCTATCGATCGCTCGATCGTAGAACCTTCTCCACGGCGAATGATGCACATTCTACAATACTTAGCCCACAAATCTCCACATTGCTTTTCATCTAGTGCCTGAATGATGTTGGCTGTCAGGTGATCCGCGAGCATTTCTGACCTGACCCGCTGACCATAACAAGTTCGGCTGATTCATATTCGACATTCTCCTATTTAACGACGCAGCCAGCATGTCGCCGACATGGATAAACCGAACCGCAATGCTCGCTCCGCCTTTTTTTATTGGCATCGTGACTGGCGTCACGATGCTCGTGCTGCAGCAGTCAATGTCTTCAACCCGCGTCACATTTCTAAACCCTGCTGAGAGCATGGAAGACCAGCAGCAGACAGAATCCGTCAACTCGCACCAGAGCCTTAACCGTCAACCGTCAAATGCCGTCAAGGAAGGTTCATTCTCGTTTGAAGAGCGGCTTCCAGTTCGTTATAACACGTCCGTGGGAACTGTGGAAGGGAAGCTGAACGTTCATTTGATTGCTCATTCTCACGACGACCTCGGATGGGTCAAGACGATTGACGAATACTACGTAAGCTCAATCCCAGTGTTGCATTCTTGTTGTCGTCATTGTCGTCACTCACGCTGTTACGGCGAACCTCTTTTGCAGATTGACCAAGTACAATATATTATCGAGACCGTCGTTGATCAGCTCTCAGACAATCCTGACCGTAAATTCATACAAGTTGAACAGGTGAGTGGCTTCTTCTCTAACGTGCAGAATGCGCTCCTGAATGCTACATAACGAGACATTTCGTAACGCGTCTGTGACATCTGAATTCATTGCAGGGATTCTTCTTCCTATGGTGGCAGCAGCAGAAAGAGACGATGAGAGATAGAGTCAGGAAACTGGTGGCCTCCGGTCAGCTCGAGTTCATGTGAGTCTTCAAGCTAACTCCGGAGCATTGGACCTCGTTTTGACAAAGATCATGTCGTGTCAGGCGTATGCAAGCTGGCTGATAATGCTTATATCAGCCGTCACACCTAAGAACCTGGCCTGTGACCTCGCATCCCTTGAGTTTGCCTTCACTTGCAATGTCTGGCCACCGTTTCCTGCGACACAGCCTCGCATGCCTAAGGATTGGTCAGGATTGTGCCAAGCCTACGAGGCTAACCACTCGACATCGATTTCTAGCGACTGTAGGACAAATGCCTGGAATTCCTCACGGAGATTCGCATTTGCCCACCTGGAATCGGCTCTCATGCCATGCCCTCATGCTCTTGCCTGCTCCCTGCTGTGCTGTGGTGACTTTTGAGTCGACTCAAAAGTCTTCTCTCATGCCATGCCCTCATACTCTTGCCTGTTCCCTGCTGTGCTGTGTGCTGTACAGGAACGGCGGGTGGGTGATGCACGACGAGGCGGTGTGCCACTACACGGACATGGTGCACCAGATGTCAATGGGCCATCGCTTCATCCAGGAAAACTTCAACATCACGCCACGCATTGCATGGCAGATCGACCCCTTTGGCCACTCCGCCACCCAGGCCAGCCTCATCACCTCGCAGGTTGGTGAAGCTTTGCACTGCACTTTCACTCGCCTCAGTTTTCTCTGGAAAAAATAATCGTTTGCAACATCTCCCTTTGTAGCGACATTGTAATTATATGTAACCTCTTCTCGTCCCCTAATCCGTCATGATATCCCCTGTATCGCCGCCAGGCTGGTTTGGATGGTTTCATATTTGGGCGAGCGGACTACCAGGACATGGAGGCGCGCAAGGCAAGCCACAAGATGGAGTTTGTGTGGCGCGCGGGCACAGGAGCGCCGAGGGAAACCGAGGTGTTTGCGGGGATTCTGTACGACGGGTACTACTCGCCGCAGGAGTTCCGGTACCAGCAGACGGACAGCCCACAGTACCGATTGAGGGTAAGTAGGTTGACGGAGAGTCAGTGAATGTTGGACAATGACCTGGCGCATCATAAGCAGTAGCTGTTTTTCCGAGATTTCGTACAGCGGGTGGTTCCCCCTAGAGGAATCCCGGTACCCAGGATCGGAGAGCTGGTTGTTGATGTAACATATTGCTAGTGCGTCAGTGTCGCATGACTCTTAGTAACATGGAGGTCCTAAGAGCGCATGGGACAGCGCTGAAGTTTGTAGGTAAGTTTTGAGTAGAGCTGTGTACTGTAGAGAGCGTTATGCAGTTTTGGGATTGGAGGTACAGTGCGGTGGACGAGGATTGGAGGTTGGCGCGGAGGGCGACAGTTGGAGGGGTGGAGAGCTGTCGTCATCCAGGTCAGCAGGGTTGGGAGCGACGCGGTAAGCAGGCATGCGGGGAGAGGATTGGAGCGAGGATGGCAGAATCTCCGGGAGCCATCACGGTGGAGAAAACCCCGAAACGGTGCGCGGCTTGAGCAGTGGGGAGGGTTGGGCTCGGCTGAGGGTGTCTCCTCTAGTGCTGGAGAACAAAACCAGAGCTACGCGATTGCTTAGCTACTTTGTTTGTGCTCTCAAGAACCGTGGGAAAACCTGTATGCTTTGTTGCTAGTGGAAGCATTCCTGAGCAGATGTTAGATCCACGATGAGAGGATAAGCAGAGGAAGGGTAAGCAGTGAAGGGGATAGATAGTAGATCCCGGCAGAAACTTTGAGAGGGAACAGCAAGAGGTAGTGACCTATGAGAGGCGCCAGAGCCAGAAAGTGAAGGACCCAGGGTAGCGTGTCCTCAGAGAAGAGGGGGAGAGCCAGGGAGAAGGATTATGCGACATCAGTGCAAAGGAATGCAGTGGTGAGGTGAGGCATGTCATGGCATGGTATGCCACCATGCCTCATGCTACGTGCCATCACGTGACTCAATGTGTTCCTTCCCTCTCTCCGTTTCCTCTGTGCCCCCTTGCCTTTCGCCATGTGATGTGAATCGTCAGGACTGGCCGAACGCGAGGGATCCCAACGTACGGGATTTCGTGAACTTCTTTGTTCAGGAAACCACGCGCAGAGTGAGTCAGCGTACGCTGGGTGAGCCAGCGTATGCAGGGTCACTCAGCGTATGCAGGGTGATTCGTAGCATGCGCATGCACAACAAGTTAACATGCACAGGATAAGGTACGTACAATGGAAAGTTAGTCGAAAGGAAAACGGCTCACGTGCACCAAGAAAGCCACTTTCACCATTATTTCAATGCTTCCCCCCTTCCCCCGTCATTCATTTCTTCCCTCCTCTTGCTGTCTCTGTCACTCCCTCTCTCTCCTCCTCAGGCGCAGGCGTTCCGCACGAACCACCTGCTGTTCCCCATGGGTGAGGACTTCTCGTTCGACGAGGCCATCATGTGGTTCAAGAACATGGACAAGCTCATCCACTACGTCAACCTGGTATGACATGGCGTGCTGTGGGGTGGTGTGGGGTAGTGTGGCGTGGTGTGACATGCCATCCTCTTGTTCAAGAACATGGACAAGCGCCTCCACTACGTCAACCTGGTATGACATGGCGTGCTGTGGGGTGGTGTGGCGCGTGGTGTGACATACTGTACATGCCATCCTCTTTTTCGATAACATGGACAAGCTCATCCGCATCCACTACGTGAATCTGGTATGACATGGCGTGGTGTGATGTGAGGTGGTGTGCTGTGGTGACATGCCATCCTCTTATTCAAGAACATGGACAAGCTCATTCACTGCATGAGCCTGGTATGGCATGGCGTGGTAGGACATGCGTTTCGCGTGCCCTATGCCATCACAACCTCGAGGAGCCTGTCCAAGCCCATTCTTGACTCGGCCTGCGGTACAACCTAGCTTGTCCAAGCCCATCCTTGACTCGGCCTGCGGTACAACCTAGCTTGTACAAGCTCATTCTTGACTCGGCCTGCGGTACAACCAAGCTTGTACAAGCTCATTCTTGACTCCGCCTGGGCATTTTCATTCACAGTACAAGTTCCTTTCTAGCTCGTTGCCTTCCCTGCAAGGCATGCCATGCGCCAACCAAACCCTCCTTGACAACTGGTTCATTTCTTGCGTGGTGTGCGCGTTCTCGTGTGCATTGCACATGCCTGTGATGTATGTGTGCATATCCCTCCCCCTTACCATGCCATGCATGACAATTCTGTTTCAGGATGGCCGAGTGAACGCCCTCTACTCCACACCTTCCTTCCATCTGGACGCCCTTCACAAGGAGAAGAAGACGTGGCCTCTCAAGACTGGTGACATGTTCCCGTACGTCCCTGTCAAATGCTTCAGATTTTATGTACACATGCTGTGACCTTTGCTATGTATTCTTCGCTCTTGATCATATACTTTTCAGATTCGTTACCGCCCCCCACCGACTTTTTCTCAACCTTTTATGAGACCCCGTAAAAGTTTAGCCCGCCTCACATCCCCCCCCCCCTCCCTCCCCCCCCCCAACTGCCTCACTATCTGACGTTCAGACGACCTTTTCCCGCTACCTACCCCCTCTCTGACTGCCTTTCCATCTCCTTCGTGCTTGACTTGACATACAGCTATGCTGACGCCCCTCACAGCGTCTGGACGGGGTACTTTGCCAGCCGGGCCAACTTCAAGCGCTATGCCCGCGTGTGCAGCTCCCTGCTGCTGGTGCGTCCTTCCCCTGAAGTACCTTAACACCCAGCTCCTTTCTTTCATGTGTTCTCGTCTTAATCACATCCGTCACCATAACCCTCCATCATTCCGGTCAACTCAAAAGACACCCTGTCTGGTACCATACCATCTCACCGCACCATTCTTCACTTGAGCTCACTCGTTCAGCATGAACATTCTCAGATCCCGTGCCACTCCAACGTCTCCCAAACCCACAGCCCCCGAACCTTTCTGCTTTTTATACCATCGGCTCCGATCTCTCCCCCTCCCCCCCCCCTTCACCCTTCTGCCCTCACGCGCTCAGGCAACCACTGTTCTCGAGGCTGCTGTGGGCAAGAGGGCTCTGAGGGACTGGGGCCTCAAGAACCACAGGATGATCGCTACAGACGAGTTTTTGTTCGACAATCACCTGGGAAAGAACCTGAAATTGGCCAGTGGGGGGGAAGGGGGAGATATTGGGAGTGCAGGAGCCACGGGAGAGGGTGGGAGCGGGGGTGGAGGAGGGGTCGAGAGAGGCACAGGAGGAAGGGGAGGTGCGCAAGAGAAGGGGGAGGTTGACAGTGGTGAGTGGGAGGAGTGGGAGAGTTTGGGGGGGAGTGCGAGGAGGAGGAGGGTGGCGTCGACATTCCCTCTGGAAGAAGCGGTGGCAGTGGCACAGCATCACGATGCCATCACAGGCACGGCTCAGCAGCACGTGAATGACGACTACACGCTCAGACTGCACAGAGCGGCTCAGGAGGTGAGAATGGTGAATGCTGCACAGGAGGCGAGGGGAGGGAGGTGATAGACGAAAGACTGGGCAGATGAAAAAGGTAGCTGAGAGCGTTTCCGTGCCCTCCTTGACTTTGTTATACCTTGCCCTCACCTTGTTATACCTTGCCCTCCCCTCTTTGTAATACGTCTTTCCTCCCTTGCCCTCCCATTTGTTCCCTCTTTGTTATAATCGCTCCAGGGCTTCACTATTGTCACAGCTGCTCTCGTTCATCTTATCACCCAAGCAGCCCCCACTCCTCTCCAACCGCGCCCCTCCTCCCCAGCTTCTGCCGCGCTTCCCAATGACCCCTCTCGAGCCTTCTACACTCCCACTGCCGAGCCCACAGGTGGGCCTTCAGACTTCCCCCCGTTCAATTCCCAGCCTGGTTCCCCCGTGCCTGACCCTGCTGCTGAAGCACAAGCCGTGCAATGGACTTCTGAGGACCCTTTTCAGCCTCACTCGTTTACTGTTGACCAGCCAAACCTCCCATTGGCCAATCCTCTAGACCCGTCAATGCCAGGGAATGAGCTGTCCGACCCGCTCTTCTCTCAAATCGACCCAGCGTTGACTCAGGTTGACCCAGCGTTGACTGGGGGGAGCAGCAGCAGATGGCAGATGGCACGGCATTCTTCCCGTACAACCGTCAGGTGCCTCCTGTGGAAGAGATTGTCCAGCCAGAACAGACAACACAGCAAGTTCCAGATCAGAACCCACAGGAGCAGCCGCCTTCGGAAGAGGCTGCTTCTCTTGGGTTTGCTGCTGCTGCTGCTGCTGCTGCTTCTGCAGCACAGCAGACCTTTCCTCCCAGGGATGGCACGGTTGGTCTTCCAGGAAGGAGGGGACAGGAGATGCTGCTGAGTGCACGGGACGGCATCACAGGGGCAGAGAACAGTGGAGTGGTGGGCGGGAGTGGAGGGGCAGGTGGGGAAGGGGAAGTGCGGGGAGAGGGGATTGGTTCAGGTAGCAGCAGCAGGGGGAGGCGGCTTCTGAGGGAGGGAGGAGTTGTGAGAGGTGTGCGTGACGGGAGGGAGGATAGTGCACGAGAGAGTGCAGAGGGTGGTGATCGAAGAAGAGCGGCAGAGGGAGGGATGCCTGTGCTGGACTTTCAGATGGTATGTGATGTTTTCCGCTGTGTTACACTTGTTGTTAGTTACAGGGCCAGAGCTCTCTAGGCTTCTAGCTGCTGTGGTCCGATTGCGTCCTCACTTGGCCCCTCACTTTACATCTCTGTTACCCGCACAATTGCAGCTACCAATCAAGCTGTACTTCTCTTTTCTCCCTGATCTTATCCCTCCTTATGCACTCTCCACCCCCTCCACCCCCTCCACCCCCTCCACCCCCTCCATCCCCTCCACCCCCTTACACCCCCTTACACCCCTGGCATTCTCAATTTCATTCCATCCATTTTCTGTTGTTCACTCTGCTGCAGTGCCCACTCCTCAACCTCTCCTACTGCCCCCCATCTCAAACCAACCTTGGCCAAGATCAAGTCCTGGTAGGCCTCGCCTTTTTGTCACCACTTTTTTTTTTTCCCTCCAATATAGCTTCGTCTGAGTCTTCCTTCTCGTCCGAGTTCCCCCTCCACCCTTTCTTTTTTGCTCCTGATTGCGCCATCTGACCACTCCTCATCATTGCATGCTTCTTCTATGCTTCCAAAGCTCGTTTCCCTATATACCATACTGCCGTACACTCTCCACTTCCCACTCAGCAAATTCACAATCCACCCTTCTCTTGCCGAATCTGCAACCAGGTGGTGACTGTGTTCAACCCACTAGGATGGCCGCGCGCAGAAGTTGTTCGTTTTCCGGTACTTCCCTTGTGCCTCCTGTTGCACCGCCCTTCTGGCTTCCTCACTCTTCCACTCTGCTCAGCTGAACTCTCCCCGCTCTGCGTCTACGTCTCTCTTTTTCCGTGCACCTTCCTTCCTCGTCGGACAAGGCTCGTCCCACCCCTACCCTCTGCTCGTTTCCTTTCCCCTCCCTTCTCCTCCCCCCCACACCCCCCCTCCCACAACCCCACCTTCCCCTTTTCCCCCCCAACCTATCTGCACTCCTCGCCTCTTCTCCGACCCTCCAGGTCTCCTCATCACCAGTCCTTGTGACAGACTCTACGAACTCCCCCATCCCCGCTCAAATCGTCATCGAGACCCTCGTACCTCTCAACACGCGTGCCACGTACATTGCCGCGTACACTGGCGAGCTGCCCCAGGAGGCCCAGCAGCAGCAGCAGCCGCAGAAGGGCTTGTTGTCCGTTGTGTTTCACGCCGAGGTGCCTCCTCTTGGATATGCCACCTTCTTCCTCACTGCAGTGCCTCCAGGTATTTGCCCGCTCCTGAGTCCACTCAAGATATTTTTGAGTTGACTTAGAAGTCACCCCTCTGGGATATGCGACCTTCTTCCTGACTGTAGTGCCTCCAGGTATAAGCCGGGTGGCTTACGAGCGAACTCGCACGCCCTCTCGCAAGCTGGACTAGCCACAAGTTGGACTAGCCACAAGCTGGACTAGCCACAAGCTGGACTAGCCACAAGCTGGACTAGCCACAAGCTGGACTAGCCACAAGCTGGACTAGCCACAAGCTGGACTAGCCACAAGCTGGACTAGCCACAAGCTGGACTAGCCACAAGCTGGACTAGCCACAAGCTGAACATTCTGCAGTGAATCTTGCACCCTTGAGCGTTCATGCGATTAAGTAGGCGAAGGGATCGAGTGGTCCAGTGCAGCATAATCTGTGGCGCTCCAGTCAGAGGGGTGGGGCCTGAAGGGCCACGATGGCTAGTAGCACATCACAGTTAACCCTCTAACCCATTCACTGGGTCCAACAAAGATCACGCCCAGCATGGCTCACTCTCTTCCTCTCCCCCTCCCTCCCATTCCCCCCCCCCCCCCTCTCCCCCCTCTTTCCCCCCCTCTTGGCCCACACTCAATGCGGTCTTCATTCCCTCTTGCAACCCTCTCTCAGGCACGCAAGGTGCAGCAATCATCAGCACAGCAAAGTTTGCAACAGTCCCAGCCCACCAGAACGGCCCTGCTGGAACCCCAAGCGGCAACGAGGCTGCCGATTCTCTCCCTGAAACCATTGTTCTAGGGGGCTTCAAAGCTGCCCCGTCTCCTGCTGGCGGCGGCGGCGGTGCTAGTGGTGGTACTGGTGGTGGTGAGGCTAAGGCGAAGACTGCGGGCGAGGATGGAGACGCTGCACTGCGAGTGACATTCTCCAAGTCAGCGTATGGCATGACGCACATGGAGCTCGTTCGGCCGGCTGAAGGGGGGCAGGAGATCGCGGTGAGTGAGTGGGAATTGCCTGACGGTGGGGCTAGCAGTGTGGGAGGTGGGAATGGTTCGTGCTGCGAGTGATATTCCCCAAGTCAAGCGCATAGGATGACGCACATGGAGCTCATTCGGCAGCCTAAATGCGGGCAGGAGATTGTGGTGGTGAGTGAAAGTTGTCTGATGGTGGGGCTAGCAGTGTGGGAGGTGGAAGGGTCCATTCGTGCTGCAAGTGATATTCCACAAGTCAGCGTATGGGATGACGCATTTGGAGCTCATTCAGTAGGCAGAAGGCGGGCAGGAGATCGTAAACAGTGCCGGCTATCTGGAGGTGGGGTTAGGTGGTGAGTGTGGCTTATGGTGGGGCTAGTGGTAGTGAGTGTGACTTCCAGAACCATATTCAAAATACGAAACGTCAGTGCCACGTCCACAGGACAAAGCGTCCACATTCACAAGACATACCCCACCACCCACCGCACGCCCGCCGCCGCCCGCCATGGCCAAGGCCGTATTAATCTCTTGTGCATACTCAGTGTCCTAGAGGGCAAGATTAAACCCTGAAAGGGAGAGCGGGAGAGCAGGAGAGCGGGAGAGTGGGAGAGGGGGAGAGCGGAACCACCCAGCGCCCACCGGCCACCGATATTCCATACACATTTATCTCCCGGAACACTTTAGTCTGAGTCCCGTTGCGCCCTGCCACTCTCTGCTCTCCGCTCCCTTTCCCCATTCCCCTCTGCCATATCCTTCCTCATGCCTTCCGTCTCGTTCCTTGTCTGCTGGGATGGCAGGAAGTGGCGAAGCCAGTGAGATCAGACGTACTGGATTATGTCACAGCCAAGGTATGTATCTACTTCCCATCATCATTTCTGCTTTTGAGTCGACTCAAAAGCCAGTGAGATCAGACGTACTCGAGTATGTCACAGCCAAGGTCAGTCAGTATCTACTTCCCATCATCATATCCCTTTCTTTTCTCCTGTCATCAACCCGAACTGCCATCCTGTTTCCCACACTGTTCGTGTTAAGCCATGGGCACTGCTGCATCTAGGATTCACTCTCCTCTCTTCTCCTCTCTCTCTTCTCTTCGCACTCTTCTCTTCTGCTTGTGCCTCTCCCCGCCCACCCGAATACCTTCCTCACTGCCTTGACCTTCCTTCTCCCTCTTCCTGCCCCCTCCCTCCCACCTTTTCTGATCTCACCTGCCTTCTGTTTGCTCCCCTTCCCGCCCCTCCCCTCCATCTCCTTGCCTATTCACCAATCGCTCCTCCCCTCCTGCCTCTCGCCTCCCCCGTCTTCCAGGGTGGAGCCTACATCTTTGATCCCTCTGGTGCAGCAACCAGCCCTACTGACACGAACGGCCAGGTCAGTGCAATCAGCGTCTATTTGAACCCTTCGGTGCAAAGTTACCTGGAGACGATTTTTGAGGCGCCTCAAAAATCGTCTATTTGAACACTTCGGTGCAAAGTTACCTGGAGGTGAGTCAGTATTAGCTCCAGCAGGTCGAATGTCTTGGTGGTGAATCAGGTTTTATAACACACGCATAGAAGCATGGTTGATATGCCAGTCTCTATATAAAAACTGATCAATTATTAGGCCTTCTGAGATCTCATGGACCTTCACATGAGTGAGTACGCATGTGTCACATGCACTCTTCTTTGTGCATTCAAACACCCACTCTTATTTGATTTGAACCCCATGCACCCCCTTGGCCGTGCTGACGTGTCCAGGTGCCCATCTATGTCCAGCGTGGACCGATCGTGGAAGAGTTCTCTCGACAAATCGCTCCATGGGTCTCAGAGGTACTCAGACCACTAATTGCAAACCCCAGCCCCCCCCCCCCCCCCCCCCCTCTCCTCCCCCTCCTCCTGTTTTGTGTTTGCAACTAATTCTGTCCCATGTTCTACAGCGCACTTTTTCCACCTGCTTCTTCCACTCACTTTCTTTCCTGCTGCCCATACCTTGCCCCCTGCTTGCTGCATTCACTGCCTTCCCCTTCACCTGCAGACCTTCCGGGTGTACCCTGGGTGTGACTACGCCGAACTGCACTACGCGGTAAGATGCCTCGCCACAGTCACGCTTTCCTGCCAGACATAGCCACGCTCCTTCACAGGCCATCTTGCAACTGTGAAGTGCCATGCTTTGCGCAACTCAAAGGGGCCTGTGCTCTTGTTCTACCTCACAGCACAGCATTCCTCTCATCTATGCTGCTCGTACCTGATTTTTGAGTCGACTCAAAAATCAACTCAAAGGGGCCTGTGCTCTTGTTCTACCTCACAGTACAGCATAGAGGCCTCAAAGGGGCCTCTCAGCTCCTCCATGTGCTCGTACCCTCTCTGTTCTCCCTAGTCTCTCCCTCTTCACACCCTTAACAGATCGGCCCTGCCTCTGAGGCCATGGGTCACAAGGTGGTGTCTCCCTCGCCTCATCGCTTCTCTCTCTCCCCCCCCCCCCCCCCCTTCTCTCACACTTTGCAGATCGGCCCTGTCCCTGAGGGCGCGGGTCACGAGGTGGTGTCTCGCTCCCCTCACTGCTCCCCCCCCGCCCTTCTTTCCTCCTCTCACACTCCACAGATCGGCCCTGCCTCTGAGGCCATGGGTCACAAGGTGGTGTCTCCCTCCCTTCATTGCTCCCCCCCCCCACTCCCACCCCCCCACCCTCTCCCCTCCTCTCACACTCGGCCCTGCCTGTAAGGGCATGGGTTATGGGGTGTTGTTGTCTCCCTCCCCTCGTTGCGTCTCACCACACCCCCCCCCTCTCACACACTTGGCAGATCGGCCCTGTTCCTGAGGGCGCGGGTCACGAGGTGGTGTCTCGCTTTTCAGCCGCCATCAGCACCAACGAGACCTTCTTTACTGACTCTAACGGCAGGCAGTACCTCAAACGGGTGAGCTTATATAAACAGGGGAGAGCAGCTTAATACGAGTGATTACTGTCCAGTGCAGCTGCCATCAGCACCAACGACACCTTCTTTACTGACTCCAACGGCCGACAAAACCTCAAACGGGTGAGCTTATTAGGCAGGGGAGAGTAGCTTGAACGAGTGACTAGACTTCAGTTCAGCTGGTATACTAGCACCACGGCCTTTTTCAACTGCAAATAGTACCTCCAACGGGTTAGTGCTGAGTCTGGTGACTGCTGCTGGATCTTTTTCCTCTTGCTTTTCACCTTCCCCTCTTATTTCTCACCTTCTCACCTCCGCTCTCCCAGCCCTTTGTTTCCCACCCCTCCATCTGTTTCCCGTAACCCCATTCTCCCCCCACCTCCCTCCCTTCTCTGTCCTCCCTCTCTGCCCACCCCCTCTGCCCCCAGGTTTTGAACTATCGCTCTGATTGGACCCTCGCTCTCACCGACCCCATCGCAGGCAACTTCTATCCAGTCAGTCCACGCCATTTGTCGACTCAATGCGGTCATCCCACCTTAGTTGCCGATTCTGTATGGTCAGTCCACCTTATTTGTCAGCCCAGTTTATCTGTTGCTCAGTTCAGACACTAGCACGGCAAGCCTCTTTGGACGTTTTTTATCATCATGGGCTGCTTTCTCGGAGAGCTACTTACCCCAGACGTCTGACTTGCATGTGAATATCTCATCTCCTCGTGCCCCTTCATCGTTCTCTGTCTCCTTATTCCATCCTCAGTTGACGATGGTAGGGGCATTCATACGCATAATGAGTCACAGATGTCGCAAGTCTCCTGAGCAGCAATAATGGTGGATCTCTCTTTCTTCCTCTCTCCTCCCGCTCCCATCTCCAGGTGGCAGAGGTGGGGCATTCACAGGCGAGGCGATGGGATGGGATCGGAATGTTCAACTGTCTCTGCTCAGGGACAGACAGAGCAGCGACAGCGGTGAATCGTGCTTTCTTCCTCTCTCCTCCCGCTCCCACCCCCAGGTGACGGTGGGCGCATTCATCGGCGATGGGGCGGCGCAGCTATCTCTGCTGGTGGACCGAGCAGCCGGTGCTGCCAGCCTGGCGGATGGCCAGCTGGAAGTCATGCTGCACCGGTGAGGGCACTGTAGCAGCATGGGAGTGCACTGTAGCAGCTGGGGTTGCACTGTATCAGCCTGGAAAGCATTGAAGCAGTGGCACTGCAACAGCATGGTTTTACTGTAGCAGCATGAGATGCACTGTAGCAACCTGGGATGTACTGTAGCAGCCTGTAATGCTCTGTAGCATCCTGGATACACTGTAGCAGCCTGGATGTACCGTAGCACAGGCAACATAGAAGGGCATGCAAGTCATGCTGCACCAATGAGGCTCGTGTCATGCCCATCTGCTGCTACACCATCCTCTCATGGTCCCTGTCTTGTATGTATCTTTGTGCATTACCTTTCCGTAGGCAACATCAGTGTATGGATGATTGTTTTTTCCCCCTGTACGATTGCAGCGCACTGGCCACGGTGGATATGAAGGGAGTGGGGGAGGTTCTCAACGAGGCCATCACAGTCAATGGCAACACGGAACGCCTCATGGTATGGTATGGTACAGAATGGTATGGTGCGGTATGGCACCATGCGTTCATCATTTCAGGCTGTCAATAAAACACGCACTCAAGCGAACGTGCACAAGTGCAAGCCAAACGGGGTCGTGTTTCCTTCACGCGCCGACCCTTCCTTTCTTAGCCACTCGCCATCCCTCTTTTGCCCTCCAGGTGATCGGCTCGCTCCGCTTCGGCCTGCACACAGGGGGCAGCACAGCGGAGGGGGGCAAGGGGGGCATGCAGGAAACACCAGGGGGCAGCGACAGCAGGCATTTGAGCGCAGGCACTGCTGCCCATGCCAGTGCTGAGGCCGCCGCTGGTGCTGAGACCAACCCGAGTTTCGATTCTGGCGCTGATGCCACTGGTGGGGCTGGTACGGGTGGCGGCAGCATGCCAGCTGTGCAGCAGGCTTCTCAGATGTGGCCTGAGAGGTCCCCTCATGGCAGGCGTGGGGCTGAAAGGGCGGGAGAAGAGGATAACGGAGAGGCGATTCAGGATTCGTCTGAGATGAGGCGGACTCGGGGCAGGCGAGGGGGGGAGAGGGAGGTTGTTGAAGAACAGCAGGGGGGGCAGGGAGCAGAGTGGCGGAGGGAGCACGCCCAGCGACTCATTGCACCTCTGCAGCTGGCGTTTGCTGTTGAGGTGCGTGCATGCTTTTCTTCTGTCCACTGCGGTTAAGCCACTCCTCGGATCCGCCAAGCCAACCATATCGGATTCGTTTGTTGCTGCTTTGCACCAGCATGTTTAACGCATGTTTGACATAACATCCTTCGCCTCTTCCTTCCCTTGCTCCTGCCGTTCCCTCCACCTAAAACGCCTGCAACCCCTGCACCCCGCTTCCCGCAGTCAACGGCGGCCATAAAGGCAGCAGAGGGAACGTACAGGTGGCGCTACTCCCTCTCCCAGCCTCCCAGCAGCCGCACCACCAGTGTGCACCGACCCGCTAATGACTCCCTGCACCCCACTAACCCTTGCTTCCCCGCAGTCAAAGGAGGCCATAAAGGCAGCAGAGGGAACGTACAGGTGGCGCTACTCCCTCTCCCAGCGCCCCAGCAGCCGCACCACCAGTGTGCACCAACCCGCTTACTCCCTGCCACCAAACGTCGCTGTTATCTCCTTCCAGGTCAGCTTGACCCCCCTTGTAGTTCCTTCCAGGTCAGCTTGACCCCCCTAGTAGTTCCTTCCAGGTCAGCTTGATCCCCCTAGTAGTTCCTTCCAGGTCAGCTTGACCGTAGTTCCTTCCAGGTCAGCTTGACCCCCCTAGTAGTTCCTTCCAGGTCAGCTTGACCCCCCTAGTATTTCCTTCCAGGTCAGCTTGACCCCCTAGTAGTTCCTTCCAGGTCAGCTTGACCCCCCTAGTAGTTCCTTCCAGGTCAGCTTGACGCCCCTCGTAGTTCCTTCCAGGTCAGCTAGTCCCCACTGGCAGCCCCTCATCCCCATTCGCCCCGCTCCTGTTCCACAGCACGGCGTTTTGAGATGAGCAAAAGCGCCATCTGTCTGGTGCTTGTTGAGCGCGGCGTCTTGTTCACCGCGCGGGCTTGGTTTGGTTCTTTATGTGGTGCCTGAAGTGAAGGGCTGCTGCTTCCCCCTCACACTAGTTTTGAGGCGCCTCAAAACTAGACTCCAATCATGCTGTTTAGTTTTGAGGTGCCTCAAAACTAGACTCCTATCACGCTGTTTGGTTTTGAGGCGCCTCAAAACTAGACTCCTATCACGCTGTTTAGTTTTGAGGTGCCTCAAAACTAGACTCCTATCACGCTGTTTAGTTTTGAGGCGCCTCAAAACTAGTCTTTGTGTGGTGCCTGAAGTGAAGGGCTGCTGCTTCCCCCTCACACTCTATCTCTCCCTTGCAGGAGCTGTCTCCCAGGGAGATTGTGCTGCGACTGGCTCATCTGTACGAGGTACGGGTTTGAGTGCAGTGCACTCTTTGCTGCTTCCTGTGGCAGCATGCCTGACACTCAACTTGATGCAGGCTCCCATGTTCCCCTATGTCATTCTTTTGTACTGCCTCATCACTTCCTTTCTCCCTGTAATTGTATGTGAAGCATTTTCTGAGCTCGACCACGTGCGTTTATTGAAACCCTTTCATGTTTCATTGCGCCCCCCCTCCCTCCACCACCACCCTAGGCCTATGAGCATCCAACGCTGTCCAAAATCGGACGCGTTGACCTTCGTCAACTTCTTTCATCGCAGAAGGTATGGTCTCAAATTATTTGCTAATACCATCCTTCCTGCCCTGCAATGCATTTTTATGCCCCCAGCTGGTTGTGCAAGTCATTGTTGGTGGCCCCAGTTGTTGAAATCATGTGTGAGCGGCAAACTCGGCTCTGTGCTCCCATTCAACGGTGCAGATTAAAGGAGTCGTCGAGTTGAGCCTAATGGCCAACCAAAAGCGGTCGGAAATGCGCCGCCCAATGAAATGGCACGTGGACGGTGAAGACCCATCAGAAGCTGACAATTCCAAAGAGAACTCACTCTTAGGAGGCCCAGTGGACCCAACGTCCCTCGTGGTGGAATTAGCGCCGGGGGAAATCCGCACTTTCTCAGTGAAGCTCTCACCTCCATAAGTTATATGCGGATGGTAGGTTTGTTGATTGTATGAATAGAATGTGATGTTTGATGGCTACACTAATTTTTCTTCGTTTGCAGGAAATTTGTTATGCGGAGAAATGTCCTCCTGCACTATCCACAAACGCGTCTGCTTTTGACGGGCACTACATAATCCCCATCTTGAGCGGGCTCAAGAGGCCGAAGTCCAAGTGGGCTAAAACTGACCAGGTCTGGTCTAAACAGCGCGACAGCCGTCACTTACAGAAGCCCAACTCGTCCATACAGCAAGGCCAGCCGCACAGCAAGGCCAGACACAAGGCTCTTAGGCGCCATTAGCGAGTGATTTGCCCATGGAGCAGCAGCAGCCACCGCAATGCGCGCTAGAAGCAGCTCTAAAGCGATCCGATGCTGTGGACGAGAGCACGCCACTTGTCCGCGGATACACCTTCGACGGAGCTTCCGCTCTCCTCGCGTGCGAATCCTCCTCTCGCCGTGATCCGCCGCGAGAAGGTAGCGCCGCAAACGAGGCGCCTAGTAAGGCGGACGGTGATATACGAGAAAGCGATGGAGCTGCGACGGCTACAGCAGGAGCAACCGAACGAGGGGAAGCGGGTACCGCGACAGCCGTAGGAGACGGAGCGGACTCGATGCGAGAAGTAGGAGAAACGGGCTCGCTGACAGGAGTAGGAGGAGCGGCGTCGGTGGCGGTGGATTACCAGCAGCTGATGAGCCGAATGCTGACGACGGGGTTCCAGGCCACGTGTCTGGGGCAGGCTATTAACGAAGTCAACCGCATGGTGCGATCGCGTGGCCCGCTTCTGATGCTCCTCCTATGGGCACTTGGGCCAGTCCGTCGCCTGTGCCTGTCCGTCGCCTGTGCCTGTCCGTCGCCCGTGCCTGTCCGTCGCCCGTGCCAGTCCGTCGCCTGTGCCAGTCCATCGCCTGTGCCTGCCGTCGCCTGCTTCCGTCCTCACTCTCGGCATTACGCCTTCCTCGTTCAATGGCTTCCTTTCTACACCCCATGGCCCGTAACTTCCTCGTGAACCTGTTGTCGCCTGTTATCCCCTGTTTATCCCCTTGTTTCTGATGCTCTCAGTCTCTCCTTTCTTAATTCCCCCCTCCCCTTCAACCCTTTCTTCTGAAACCCCAAACCCTGAACCCCGGTATTTCCCCCAGCTCGCATGGCGTCTGAGCCACGACCCGCCCAAGGCCGATGACACAGAGGAGGAGCGGGACCCTGCCTTCCGGTCGTCCGTGCGGTGCAAGATCTTCCTGGGCTTCACCTCCAACCTCATGAGCTCGGGACTCAGAGAGACGTTCTGCTTTCTAGCAAAGCACAGACTGGTACGTCGCTGCCACTGCCACTGCCACGGGCGAGTAAGCAGCTTTGGGGTCGTCTTAAGAGAGTGAGTGAGGGACCCTGCCTTCTGGTCATCTGTGCAGCGCAAGATCTTCCCGGGGTTCACCTCCAATCCAACCTCGTGAGCTCGGGGCTCAAAGAGACGTTCTGCTTCCTGGCGAGGCACAGACTGGTAGGACTTAACCTCAAGTCGCAGCATTTCTCTTTTTTTTTTTAATAATTCCCCCCTTTCCCCCCGCCCCCTCCCCCTGTTCCGTTTAATGCCGCTATGCTCACTTGTGTTCCTATTCTGGCTTTCATCTAGTTTCGTTTGCTTGACGCACATCCTCTCATAACCACCCCCCCTCACGATTGCTTGAAACCATCCATCGACCCGCACCCACACACCCTTCCAGGTGGATGTGATAGTGACTACAGCGGGGGGGATAGAAGAGGATGTGATTAAATGCCTGGCGCCCACTCTCCTGGGCGACTTTGCCCTGCCGGGGAAGGAGCTCAGAGCCAAGGGGCTGAACCGCATAGGCAACCTGCTGGTGCCCAACAACAACTACTGCAAGTTCGAAGACTGGGTGCTGCCTCTGCTGGACCGCTGCTTGGAAGAGCAGAAGACACAGGTGAGGGGCGTGAAGGGAGGCGAGAGGGGAGCACCAATGGGGCTGAACCGCCTCGGCAACCTGCTACTGCCAGTTTGAAGTCTGGGTGCTGCCAGTGCTGGATGCATGCCTGGAGCAGCAGACGAGAGAGGCGAGGAGGGGAATCAGAAGTGAAAATAGGTGGTCGCTGAGAAGGAAGGAGAAGATAGGAGGGTCTGGGGACGTGAAGGTCCCCTCCTACTGGTGGATTGCTGCTTGACCATTCCCCCCCGGATGGCTGTTGTCTTAGTCAACTCCAATTCTACTTTTCTTCCTTCACTTCCCGCGTGTGCCATGCCTTGGCCAGGGTGTGCTGTGGACGCCCTCGAAGCTCATTGACCGCCTGGGGGAATCAATCAACCACGAGGAGTCAGTCCTGTACTGGGCGCACAAGGTCAGTACTTACCCATTAACCACTCAAGTCCGCCAACCACCCAAGTCCGCCAACCACCCAAGTCCTCCAACCACCCAATCCGCCAACCACCAAGTCCGCCAACCACCCAAGTCCGCCAACCACCCAAGTCCGCCAACCACCCAAGTCCGCCAACCACCCAAGTCCGCCAACCACCCAAGTCCGCCAACCACCCAAGTCCTCCAACCACCCAATCCGCCAACCACCCAAGTCCGCCAACCACCCAAGTCCGCCAACCACCCAAGTCCGCCAACCACCCAAGTCCTCCAACCACCCAATCCGCCAACCACCAAGTCCGCCAACCACCCAAGTCCGCCAACCTCCCAAGTCCGCCAACCACCCAAGTCCGCCAACCACCCAAGTCCGCCAACCACCCAAGTCCGCCAACCACCCAAGTCCGCCAACCACCCAAGTCCGCCAACCACCCAAGTCCGCCAACCACCCAAGTCCGCCAACCACCCAAGTCCGCCAACCACCCAAGTCCCCCAACCTCCCAAGTCCGCCAACCACCCAAGTCCGCCAACCACCCAAGTCCGCCAACCACCCAAGTCCGCCAACCACCCAGGTCCCCACCGGGGGTGCCGTCCATCCACCCATGTTCCCGTTGTCCCGTGCTCCCTCCCATCCATCCCGAGCTGTTACCCATGCTCCCTTCCATCCCCACCCATGTTCCCGTTGTCCCCCACCCACGCAGAACTGCATCCCTGTGTTCTGTCCAGCCATCACGGACGGGTCCCTGGGAGACATGCTCTACTTCCACTCCTTCCGCTCGCCAGGGCTCGTCATCGACCTTGTGGAAGGTGAGTGCTGCACTTGACTCGACTTTACTTTTGGCCGAGGGCCAAGTTTCCCGATTCCCGCTTCCCCTTTAACTCCCAGCCCCCTCCCAGACAGTCGCAGGATGAAAATTGAGTCTCCCAATCCGTTTACCCCCACCCTGTCCCCACTCCCCTTTAAATCCCTCTCTTTGTTTCCTTGGCTCACCAGTTGTGCAGACATTCGGCGGATGAACAGCGAGGCGGTGCACGCCCCCCCCCGGCGCACGGGCGTGATCATCCTGGGGGGAGGGTTGCCGAAGCACCTCATCTGCAACGCCAACATGATGCGCAACGGGGCGGACTACCCCCCCTTCCCTCCTCCCTCCCCCGGCCTACCCCTGCACAACCCTCATCCCCCCTTCTTCCCCCCCTCTTCCCCCCCTCTTCCCCCCGTCCTCCCTCCGCCCCCAACAACCCATCCCTCCCCTCCCCCCCAGACATTCGGCGGATGAACAGTGAGGCGGTGCACGCCACCCCCGGCGCACGGGCGTGATCATCCTGGGGGGAGGGCTGCCGAAGCACCACATCTGCAACGCCAACATGATGCGCAACGGGGCGGACTATGCTGTCTACATCAACACGGCCAACGAGTTTGATGGGAGTGACTCGGGGGCGAGACCGGACGAGGCAGTCAGCTGGGGGAAGATTCGAGGAGATGCCACTGCTGTGAAGGTAAGTGCTTGCAGTCGCTTACAATCGATGCACACACCGTGAGACATATTCAAGGCGTGGGGCGGACTACGCTGTCTACATCCATACAGCCAACGAGTTTGATGGGAGTTACTCGGGGGCGAAGCCAGATGAGGCAGTCAGCTGGAGGAAGATCGGGGGATGCTACTGCTGTGAAGGTGAGAGAATGCCCGCCTGAGGTGTGCATTGCATTGCATTTCAACACCCCTTGTCATCCACCTCCCTGTGCTCGACTTTTAAGCTGCCTCCCTGAAAGTGTTGCATTTCATCACCCCTTGTCAACCACCTCTCTGTGTGCACCCATGGCCGCCCCCAGGTGCACTGCGACGCCAGCCACCATCGCCTTCCCTCTGCTCGTAGCCGAGACGTTTGCCTCATTGCCTGCCCTCTCCTTTCCCTCCCTGTGTACCGAATACCCACCCCCAGGTGCATTGCGACGCCACCATCGCCTTCCCTCTGCTCGTAGCCGAGACGTTTGCCCGGCACTGGCAGCAGGAGCCAGTGAAGCAGCAGGAGCCAGGGAAGCAGACAGAGCAGAAGAACTAGGCAGCAGAGAGACGAGAAGGGGGAGACTAGGATTATCAGGAAGAGCACCCTGGGAGTTTCGGCATGAAGGGATGGTTTGTGTGCAGAGGTCGCAAATGTAGTCCGGTGGAGGTTGTGTAGTGGCCAGCCAGGTGGAGGTTGTATGGTGCTCCAGCTCTGTACACATAGTGATGCTTGCATTCATTTTGGAGGTTGACTGACAGTGCGTTGACTGACAGTGCCTTAACGTGTGTTGCAAGCAATGGGTGAGACAGTCACAAACGGAGGCTATGGTACAGTCAACTCACTACGCTCTAGCAATGCACAGGAAAGCAATGCAATGTCGAGCCACCGGCACGACATGCCATGGCATATCATGTCACAGGAAATATATTTGAATGTCCTGGTGCACGGGATCAGGATGCAATAAGGCATGCACCACTAAGAGGGGGTGCTACAGCCCATGTCTACGACTGTGTCTACAGCTCCATGGGCTCACAAGCCGCACCCGATTCCTCCATAGCAAAACCATTGCCTCCAGCATTAGCAGTGCTAGCAGCAGGGAAAGCTGCAGCAGTAGCAGCAGCGGCAGGGGCAGTGGTGGCAGCTGGTGCAGGAGCAGTAGAACCTGCACAGATGGTACCTCCACCAGCTGGACCTTGTGAAGTGGGCATACTGGCAGTAGAGAACGGAAATCCGAGGTGTCCAGCTGAAGCGGCGACAGAAGCTTGGAAGCTGAGTGCGTCTATTATCGAACTCGCGTCTTGTAACGAGGATGGATTCACCTGCTGCAGCAGCTGCTCCAGAGACAACCCCAGACCCGGTAGGGTGGCTGATGCTGCTGCCGGCGCTGTGGCTGGTGTTATGCCCCTTGCTGCTGGTCCTGTTCCTGCACCTGCTCCCCCACTTGTTGCTGCTGCTGCTGCTGCAACAGCTGCTGCTGCTGCTGCAACAGCTGCTGCTGCTGCAGGTACTGTTGTGGAGCTCCAAGTCTGCTGATTTATTCCGGAGGGGCTTGCTCCTGGCCCTGCTGCCCCTTCAATAGAGCCCCATGGCTGTACAGTCACACCTGGGCTGGCACCTGCCGCCACTGCAGTAACAGACCCTCCAGCGGCCCCAGCTGCTGCCCTTACTGCCGATGCGCCTTCTGTAGAGCCCCATGGCTGTACAGTCACACCTGGGCTGGCACCTGCAATCGAGCCCCACTGCGTTATAGTCACACCTGGGCTGGCTGCTACTCCTGGGCGCATCCCTCCCATTGAGCTCCACTGCTGTATAGTCACACTCGGACTGGCTCCGATGCCTGAGCCTACCCCTCCTATACTGCCCCACTGCTGTACAGTCACACCTGGGCTTGCTCCTATCCCTGTGCCTAACCCTCCCATAGAGCCCCATTGCTGCATAGTCACACCTGGACTGGCACCTGAAAACCACCCTGCTACAAGGTCAGACATGGAAGGATGAGTGAAGTCAGGTACGTTCGGAAGGTTCGGTGGGCCATTCGGGAGGTTCGGCAGCACGTCTGGAAGGTTCGGAACGGCTGGGATGTGCTGGTTTGCGTAAGTGTTGTGGGGAAGGTCGGGGAGAGTCCACTGCGAAGCAAAGAGACCAGTGGGACTTGGGCCGAATGGTGAGGCACGGGGAACAGAGGCAGCCGAGGCTGAGGTAGCCACGGGAGAAGCAACACCGAATGAGGCTGCATTGGTGGTGTTGGGCGTAGTGTCTGTGCCTGGAGATGCTGCGATGGGTGAGGGCGCTAAAGAAGCAGAAGAAGCAGCAGCAGGAGAAGCAGCCAGTGCAGCTGGAGAGAAGGCAGCAGCCGGAGCAGCGCATGCGGCGCCAGCATTTGCACCAGAGCAAGGTGTGGGTCCGGCTGCCACATCAGGACCATTGCGGATGCGCCATGAGCCATAGCCTCTGGGTCATGTTCAACAGGTGTACTCATGGGTCCAATCGTTGCCTCGTGAAGAGGTGCAATAGGCTCTGCCACTGCTGCTGCTGCTGAGCCATCTGCTACCGACAGCTTCTGCCATTGCTGCGTCTGTTGGTTGTGGGCCAGTTCGGGCGTTTCAGATGCTGCTGCAACAAGCTGCTGCGGGTCGAAATCATGGAGCAAGGCAGAGGGTGGCTGGGCAGGGGGATTAGAGGGTGGCTCGCACAGCTTGCTGCTGCTGCTGCGGCTGATGGTGAAAACGGAGAGGCTGACTGCACGCCCATGTACTCATACACCTCGTGATGTGCCTGCACCTCATGCTCTGGCACCTCCTGCTCTGGCACCTCCTGCTGCTGTTGTGGTGCTGCTGATGGTGCCCGCTCCTCCTCTTCCTGCCCCTCCTCCTCCTCTTCTCCTCCTCCTGCTGCTCCTCCAGCTGCTTGCTGCTGCTGCTGCTGCTGACTATCCTGCTGCCCGTGCCGTAGATGCTGCCCTTGCCCATCCAGCTGCTGTCCTCCTGCGCTTGCATAAGTGCCGCCAGGTCCCTCCACCTCTGCCCTCTCCTCCGCACTCATCCTCAATACCACATCCGCCACTCACAGACACACCAAGAGAAGCAGCGAGTCCAGCACCAGCTGCACCACCGCCATCCCCCGCATTGCCTCCCGAGCCTCACCGTCTCTTGCTCCATAGTGAATAACGTCTCTCTCATTCACAATGGCCTGATTCGTATTGTTTTCGCTCACGCTCGCAAGCTGACCCCCCCCTCTCTCCCACTCCATTCTCGGCCGGACCACTTGGACCACACAGCTTCCCTTGTCCCTTCAACTTTGACCCTCCAACGGGTTTGGTTGAGCCCCGTTATTTCCCGCTCCCAACCCGAATCTTCCAACCTTGCTCCCGTTCCGTCTTGGGTCGAACCTGGTGCTCCGGTCCGGCAGCCGAAGCTGGAGCTCCGGAGGAAAGGGGAGAATCGTGGGCGGTCCTGAGGAGGAAGGCGAGCTGACTGGCTGTGCCGGAGGGTGCGCTTGGCTGGACTGGCTGGGCTCACGTGGTACACAGATGGAGGAGCTGGTGCAGTGCTGGCGGTCTTGCTAGTGCTGGCGTTGCTCCTCTCTACGGGCCAAGCTGTTTGACCTTCCTATGGCACCATCGAGTGCCGTGCCCCCCTCTGCTAAGACTCTCCCCCCTTCTCCTGTTCCTCCAGCAGCAGCAGCAGCAGCAGCCGTTTTCGACCTCCTGCCTAACCACCTGTGCGACAGCTGCTGCCTCTCTCCGTTGCCACACCTCTGCACCCCAGGCTGTTGCCGCTACTCCTGCAGGCGACTTTTGACTCGACTCGAGAGAAACTTCAGCTGCTACTGCTGATTCTGCACGAACAGCAGCTGGCGATGCTGCTCCTTCTGCTCCTTCTGCTCCCTGCGGCGGTGCTATCACCACCTTCCCCCCTCAAGTCTAGCCTGGGCTGATCCATAGGCAACGCAGGCCCTGCCTTTGCAGACTGCTTTAGCTTTGGAGAGCTTCACTCCAGGATGAAGGCACTGCAGCATCCTTGGACTCACCTGGTAAGGGTGACTTCATGCCCAGCCTGGGCGGCAACACGGGAGACGGCTCCAGAGGTGCTTTAAACGCCGATGTAGGTTTTTGTGATTCACCCGGTAATGGTGACTTCACGCCCCAAAGGCCGAGCCGCCGCTCCAGGAGACGGTTCTTGAACCGCCTCGCCCGGCAATGGTGACTTCATACCCCAAGCCGGCTGCCCTTGGGAACGGCTCTTGAGGTGCTTCACCTGGTAATGGTGACTTCATACCCAAGGCCGAGCCGCCGCGCCAGGGGACGGGCTGGGATGGGGCGATGCAGACAAAACGAGGGGGTTGGAAGAGAGGGGGGCGGCACGCGGGTGGGGAGGGAGCCGAGGTGGAGAGCGGGTAGGGGAGGAGGAGGGAGTGAGATGGAGGAGGGAGGAGGGAAGTTACCGCAGAGTCGAGAGAGAGAGAGAGATCGCCGACCAATTGGATTGTGCCGTCGATGACTGCTACAGGCGCGCCTGGTAGGGGCCCTGCCACGCTTCGCTGAGCAGGGACGGCTGCGCATAGGGTCTTGAAGGTGGGGCGTCCTGGTTTTCGCTTTGTTGGGCCTTTTCATGCAGCAGCTGCTGGCTGCTTGCTGCTGCTGCTGCTGCTGTTTCTGCTGCTGCTGCTGTTGGTGTTGCTGTTGCTGCTGCGGCTGCTGCTGCTGTTGGTGTTGCTGTGCTGCTGCTGCTGCTGCTGCTGCTGCTGCTGCTGCTGCTGGCTGCTGCTGCTGCTGCTGCTGCTGTTGGTGTTGCTGCTGCTGCTGCTGCTGCTCATGTTGATGGTACAGTTGTGATATGTGTGTTTCACCTGCTGCTGATTCAGCTCCCTCTGATGCTGCGGACTAGGGGTGCTCGGATCAACGCTTGTGATTGGCCGCTTCTTGAAATCAACGTCCAGATCGACAGCTGCTCAAGCTCCCCCTTTCCGTTCCACTGCCTATTCTCCCGGAATTCCATCGCCGAACCACCAGCAGCTGCTCCGGGCGAGGGGATCCTCCTCTCCAAACCTGTTTCCGACCTGGCCTGCATCATCGCTGGAGCTTCGACGAGCAACAGGGTTCCTGACTCCCTGCATGCCCCACCGTCCTCCCTGCCCCCACCACCCTCCATGGGCCCCCCTCCCTTCACGGCCCCACCTCCGCCCCTCACTGCTCTGCTCCCTGCTTCCTGCTCCGTCCTTGCCTGTTCCTTCTCTGCCGGTCGCACTGCCCTCGAACTCTCAACACCACCTCCCCCGTTCGCGCTCTCGTTCTCGTTGGCATCGCTCTCTCCACCACACGTGCCAGGCTTTGCTGCATCGTCAACATCCATTGCAGTAGCTGCTGCTGCTTCCCCTCGTTCCTGCTGCTCTTGCTCCCGCTCCTCCTCCTCCTCCTGAGGCTGCGGCTGCGGCTGCGGCTGCTGCTGCTGCTGCGGCTGCGGCCGCTGCTGCAGCTGCTGCTGCTGGCATTTCTGGCTTCTATCTGC